GCTGCAGTTTGACACTCTGTTTGAGGCAGCTTTACTTTCACATTTAAATTCTTAATTTATCTAGAATAATGTGTATGACACAGGATATATAATTTTACTTTTTCTAAAAGTCCTTATACATTTCTTGAATAATTCATCCTGTTCCCACTAATCTGTAATGTCAGCTCTGCAGTACATCAAGCTTTAATGCACGAGTGGGTCTCTTTTAGAACTCTTTATTCCACTGCCAAATCTAGTCTTAATAGCCAAAACTTTAAAATAGTTTTTGATATCTGGTAGGGCAAGTTTCTAAGCCCCCTAGTCACCCATCAGTTTTTCTTCTACAGCAGTTCTTTGGCTATTGTGCATTTCTTTTCTATATAAATCTTCATATCAGTTTTTCAAGTTCTGTGAGAAACCTTGATGGGATTATGAAGGGAATTGCATTGTTTCTGAAATTGATTTTAGAGGGGAATTAACACCTTTAAGATAATTTTCTTATCCATGAACATAGCACTTTTCCATATTTATTTAGATCTTTATTAACCTTTGAATAAGATTTTTCTTGTTTTATTTGTAAAGGTTATATATCTTTTGAAATAATTCTGATTCTCTTTTTAAAATATTTATTGATTTCAGAGCGGAATGGTAAGGGAGAGGGAGATAGAAACTTCAATGATGAGAGAGAATCGTTGAGCAGCTGCCTCCTGCACACCCTCTACAGGGAATTGATCCCACAACCCAGGCCTGTGCCCTTGACTGTACTCTAGTCTGTGACTCTTCAGTCCACAGGCCGACACTCTGTCTACTGAGTCAAACAGGCTAGGGCAAATTCTAATTCTTTATAATTTAATTATAATTAAACTTTTTATTTTCAGTTATTATAAGTGGTATCTTGAAAAAGTTTACCCTTTTCTAACATAATTGCTGATTTGTACAAATGTAATTGATTTTTGTGTAGTGCTCTTTTTTTTATTAGTCTGTACAAGTTGGTTCTAATAAAATATTGACTACTTGTTACAATCAATTACCAATATTTTCATTGCAACAGTATTTTCCCCCACACATCAAAATTTGTAAGCAATATGTCTTTCTCAAATTTTCATTTATTGTTTTTTTCCCAACCCTCAAAACACAGACATAGGTTTTTGAATATCAATAAGCTATTTATGGAAGTCATAAGATACAGCTCTTAATAAACATTACACAGGCTACAATGGACAAACACCACTAACATTTATGGTAAAAGGTCTTGGTTTAAAAACCAAAATGGGGAAAACCTTATTGCCATTCTGCCAAACACGACATAACTAAAAAGGCTGCATTAAGGGTTGTGAATCCAATGTATATGTCATAAAATTAAAACTCCAGTTAAGCACCTGAACTACTCATTGAAGTAAAAAGTAAGATCAAGCTTCTTTAATGTATCAATGCTATTTTAGAAGCATCATCAGAACACAGATTTAATTATAAATTGGCCTGGACTGTAGCCTATAAAGAGAATTTTGCTTAGTACCAAAAGAGAATCTATCAGCAAACATCCTAGGAAAGCTGTGGGATCATGTTCTTTGTTATTCTTAAGAAAGTCACCAGGTTGGATATCTGTAATCTCCCAGGGGTTCTAGGAGCTCTACATACCAATTAATTAATTAAGAAATTGATAGCATTTAAGCAAAAAGAAGCAATAAGTAGACCAAAAGTAGACCTTATTCTCACATATATTAGATAAGTGGATTTTTAAAAATCACATGATAAATGTAAATCATAAAACCAATAAAACCAAATCATAAAACCATAAAATTGGTTGTATTGTAAAGGTACACCAATTTTATGTTACGTAAAAAACTAGACTGCAAACTGCATGCTTACCATAACATTTTACCTGGGAAAGCCTATGAGAGATTCCTTGTAAATATTTATGCCATGATACAAAACAAATAACGTGCGAACTGCAAGGTCCCTAAAATAGCAGTTAAAAAGCTTATATACAGAAAGATGTCACTGTCTGATCAAATGTGGCATTTCCTAGAGTTCATGGCACAGAACAGTAACCTCCACAGGCTCATCCTCCCTGGCCTTTTCCTTGTGTGACAGTCTGACTCCCTTATTCTGGTTCTCACTTTCCCACAGTCCAGTGTATCAGTTTTGTTAGCCTTTCTGACAACTAATTTTTGGCTTTGTTGTTCTTCACTATATAATTTTTCTATTTCACTAATTTTTGCTTTGTATTATTTCTTTAATTTTTTTGAGGTTTATTTTGCTCTTTTTCTAATTAAAATTGGAGAGACAGCTCATTAATATTTAGACTTTGAAAAATTAGCATTTAAGGCAACAGGTTTCTCTTTATGCATCATTTTTGCTAGTTCTCACAATTTTGATAGATAGAATAGTCACTGTTCTGAGTTTTATAATTTTCATTATTATTTTCTCTTTGACCCATCAATGACTTAATTTAATCTCTTATATTTTTTATTTTTAAAAGTTCTCATTGATTCTTTTTCAGATCTGTCTGGTCAATTACAGTTTTCTATTTTGTTTTCATTCAACACATTTTTAATCTTTCGTTTTAAATCTATAAGACATTTATTTATTTTTAAACATTTATTTTATATTTGTATTTGATTGTTCAGTATCTGCTGACTTTGCCCATCTGATTCTGCAGTTTGTTATTTCTGCTGATCTTAGCTCATGGTGTCTTCATCATGTGTTCAGTTCAGCGAATTTTTATTTTGTATGTATATTTAGTAAACTGTATCTAAAGGAATTTTTGAAGTTCCTGTGTTTGCTTCTGCCAGGCACTGGGAGCAAGACCACTCCAGGGCAACTTTTAATTAAAATTAGAGCTTGAGGCTTTTCAGGCCACAGTCAGTGCAAATACCAAAGTTGATGAGTATGCCTTTGTCATTAGGAATTCTCAGGACAATATATACCTTTTTCTCCACACTTAACCCCCTTCTTTCCAGAGCCATTCATTCCAACTTAGGCATGTTTCCTTCCACTTCCTGGATTTTTTTCTAGTTCCTTCCGGGGGGGGAGGGGGACACGTTTCCCAGCATTATGTGAGAGTTTCTGACCTGATCCCTCATTTCACATGCTTTACCTTTTGTCCCTGTACAAGTGGGTCATTAAAACCAGGCACTAGGTCACCAGGAATTCATAGAATCTCTCAGAGCACATGCTGGTTCTAACCCTTGTTAAACCCTGTGAAATATCCTATTTTCTCTTTTCTAGCCTCCAATGGTCTTCTTTATTTTACCACTGATTCAGCCGTACTCTCTATAAAGGATGTTTTCATCTAGCATTTTAAAGTGTTGTTTACCGAGAGGTGTTCTCTGTACAACTAGTCGGCCATGTTGCTGGGAATGGACATTTTAATTCATTCTTTAGGGAAATTTCTCTGTGTAAGCGAGTTTGAATCCATTTGCACAAAATATATCTGTAGTGCATGTTAAGTTATTTCCTGTAAAAATTATATAGGGCTATTTTTTAAGTTCTGAAATGGCAGGTTAATATTCTGAAAGAATTCTTCAGAGATGGGTATAATTAGCAGTTGATTCTCTTGGGGACTGTTTAAATCTTACTTGGCATATGTTTTCTGTGAATGTACTTATAAGACTTTGAAATTCTCTGACATTTTTGTTCTTTGGGCTTTTAAAAAACTTTTTAATGTTAGTTGTGCCCTGTTTTTTTCCCCCAGGGTTTCAACCTGTTTTGAAGGTGGTCTTTTAATCTACAAAAGCCCTTGTCAGTGGCGACTTTTTTTCTTAGCTGCTGGTCTGAAAC